AGACGGATGGAGCCCGAGCTTGGTTTACAATCTCCGTGGTCTGGGCCATAGCAGCCGTCAGATAAGCTTGTATTTCATCGTGAACTGCTTGGGTTTCCGGAGTGTTGGGTAGCCGTTGCATTGTTGCCATGGCGACGGCTACGTTGGCACTTGGAGTTCTGAAGACCTGCTTGTCCCCCACCCTATCGAAAGCATCGTTGAGGTCATGTGGTTGGACCCTTATGCGTCGTGCCTCCTGGTCTGCTTCGGCTTCGATTTGTCGGCGATTAAACCGATCAATATTGCGTGCTTCACGTGCAGTCCTTTCTTGTTCTGTTTCGCCAACTGCTGGCGGTTTGTCATTGCTGACAACATGGATCAGATCCCCTCGTCTTGGCGGGAAAGACGGGGATTGTGAGAACCCCGGGGCGTGGTCTGGGATATCAATATCGTACTTGACGCCTTCATCTTCGTGATGCTGAAGCTCGGTGTGGACGGATGCATCAGATGCGGTGCCAGACAAGGAGCTGGGGTCGCCCTCTTGAACTGTGTGAACAGATCCTTCTTGATAATCTTCAATCTGGATCATGTTGACGAAGTCGCGCGGCTTCGGCTGAGGTCGGTGCATAAGACACAAATCCAAGCGGCGTTGCAGGTCGTAGGCGTAGCTGGAGGCAGTGTTTTACAGGCCGTAGGGCTGGACCTGGTAGTTCTTCGTAGAGGCTTCGTACTCGGAGAGTCGGAGACCCGTCGCGAAGGCTGGCTGGCGACGAGCAGAGCGCCCTTGAGGAGTAGATGTGACCACGAGATATGTACCAAGTCGTGCAGGATGACTGGTCCGAGCTGGTCGGGTAGATCTGTTGTGGAGAGCGGTTACCTGCTCATTAGGCTGACTTTGAATCGTACTTACCAGAGCTAGGGTTTCAGTGAGCTTGGTGCCGACCCGATCGATGGAGTCGAGCAGGTCGGTGTTGTCGATCTGCCTCCCTTTGTAGCGGGAAAGCGGATGACGAGTTGTCGGCGTGGCTGCATGTGATGCAGGTGTGGTCGGAGCCAGATGTACCGTGGTCAGAGCCAGATCCATCGTGGTCGGAGCCGTGTCCACCGTGGTCGAAGCTGTATCCACCGTGGTCGGAGCCGCGTCCACCGTGGTCGGAGCCGTATGTACCGTGGTCGGAGCCGCAGCCGATGTAGGTGAAGCAGTGGTCGATGCAGACTGAATCCACGCCTCCTCCGGGGTCATGGTGATGAAGTCGTTGGAGCCGGTGGTCCAGGTGATCTGGCCAACGGTGAACGTGAGGCCGTTTGGCGTAGCCATGGAGCCGGAGATGATGACCGTCTTGTTTGCTTGGGAAGCAGTACGCACACTCCCTACCTGGCGCGCCACTGTCGATGAAATATGGTCGGCAGTCTACCTAGGGGTATACCCAAGGTAATAGATTGTCGGCAGACAGATGCGCAAGCCACAAACAAAACGGCGACGTAAGACAAACACAAGGTTTTATCCAGGTTCGGCCGCCAAGAAGGCGTAATACCTACGTCCTGCGTCTGATTTGTATTGCTGTATGTCAATGAGAGATGTCCTCTAGAGGGGTCCCCTGCCCGTCTTATATAGTTCGGGGGGTAGGGTTACAGATCTGGAAACTAATCCTAGCCAATTACAATTGCCATATGTGGCCGGATAAGGATTCATATTCTAACCGACCAGGATCTTGATTGATCGCCAGATCCGCCTTAACTCCTTGCGCGGGACTCCGATCAGGTTAACCGGGCCGCACGTCGTCTTTTGGTGGACCGAACCCATCGATCCGGGCCGGCCCAAGCTTAGCTATAAGGGTATAGGGGTTAATACCCCCACAGTTAATAGTAGAAAACTTTCTAACTTACATCTAATTGATTTTGTTATACACTTTGATTGTACCATTAAATGGTAATACATCAATTAATCTAGCAAGAAACATATTTGGATCCGATATTTTTTTTCAAATTTTTTTGCGAAGTATTTAATCTAGTCATGTCAAAAAAAATGCAAGAAAATCATGGTAAAGTTGTATAATACTGTGATGTGTATATATTCTAATATTCACGTTGTCTAAAAGCTAACACAAGTTGCTTTATCTTCTATTTATATATGTCTCCTGATCATGATGGCGCAGGGTCACTAGCCCAGGCAATCACGTTGCAACGTCCTGGCAGTCGATTTCGATAGCCTGGCCACAGGCAGTTGTTGCCTCGCAAGCAACTTTCCAGGGCTCCAAGCAAACACGGTACAGGCAAGGTCCAAGCAACAGTTTTTTTCAGGCAATCTCAACCGCCCAGGCTCGTAACCAAACAAGCCCCGTGCCACTAGACTCTGCGCGTGCAAGCCGCGTGCTGCCTTTCTCCGCGCCTGGCCTCGCGAGCTCGTCCGACCGCCCTGTGTCTGTGTGTGCCCCAGCTCGTCACACGAGCCTAGCCGGCTGACCGCCACACGCATCCGCCGGGTGAGCCCACCCGGCCGTGCGAGGGAGCGCTGCGCCGCCTCGGATTCTCAACCCGACCGTTCCAGTCCTCCAGCCATCCAGCGCCATCGTGGAGACGCTCTCCGGGACAGCACAGGACAGTGGAGGGACCTGTCGGCCAGCGGAAGGCAGCCCCCACGCGCGCTCTCTCTCCCCCTCGCATCGGCAATATGAAAAGGAAGGGTGCGTTCATCGGCAAAACTTCCCAGTCACACATAGTACCTGTTTACAACATGACGTCGTCAAAATTCGTGCTACCTGGTGGCTGCTGCAACCTCGGGTGATCAGTTTGACTCAGGGAGGCAGCAGGTCCCAAGGGCCGACCGGCCAAACAAAAGATAACAAAGTACGTACACCATCGTATAGAAGCTTAGCACATTCCATGTTACTACTATTAGGTACTTATATGTGGTGGAGTAATAATGTAGTGGCCAATAAATTGTTGAGCAAGTCCTTGTTTAAGATAACTATAATAGACATCGATTGTTCATGTAGGCAAGTGTTCAAACAAAACTAGGAAGCACACGCATCGGTTCTGGAGCATTTGAATCGAACGGTGACTACGCAGCGATTTGGGGGTACAGAGAGAAGCAAGTACCCATGTTCTGTACAGCTCAACAGAAGAGGAAAAGTATATTGTTATCATACGGCACTTACCTCTAGTAGATCTGGAATTCTCAAACTCAATCCTAATGGTAGACCCCCATGATTGAGGCGACGAAAATTCTTGCGTGTGATCGGAATCTACAGTGTACTTGCCACATATCGGCATCCCAGAAGCCTACTGGGATCTGTCGGCCTTCTGATAGCCGATAGGGCCTGTCGGCTAGCGGAAGGCCGATAGGACCTACAGCATAGGGCCTATCGGCCAGTGGAAGACCGACAGTAGCTACCAGCACCACACGCTCTCTCCCCCAGGTGGTGCCGTGCCGCCGCCGCGCCCCCCCAACCCGGCCCACGGGCTGCTCGGCGGCGGCTGTGAAGGTAAGTTTTTTTTAATTTAGATTTTATTTTTTTTAGTTACTTTATTAGTTAGTTTAGTTAATTAGATTAGTTAGTTAGTTTCGTTTTAGGGTTAGGGTTAGTTTAGTTTGATTTAGTTTTTTTAGTTAGTTTAATTCAGTTTAGTTAGATTACTTAGTATATTTAGTTAGTTTAGTTAATTAGATTAGCTAGTTAGTTTAGTTTTAGGGTCTTTTTATAGGTTAGTTTTAGTTGTAGATTAGGATTTGTTTTAGGGTTAGGGTTAGTTTAGTTTGATTTTGTTTTTTTTTTGTTAGTTTAATTTAGTTTAGTTAGATTACTTAGTATATTTAGTTAGTTTAGTTAATTAGATTAGTTAGTATTGTTTTAGGGTTAGTTTTAGTTGTAGATTAGGGTTTGTAAAATTCTCTAAGTTATGGTGTATGTTATATGTCCGGAAAAGGAGATCAAATATTTTTTTTTGTTGCTCGAAAAGTGGTAATAGTTGTGTTCGGGAAAGGTATTGAGTGCAAAAGATGACATAAAATGGTGTAGTCGGGCATCTTGTGTTGCCGAGGGGCTGTCGGTGACCAAAAGCCGACAGGACATGTCAACCCTCCAATGACCGGCAGAGCTCTTTGTCATGCCGACAAGTCGGCGTCGGCTGCCACGTGAGCCTTATCGGTCGTTGACATGCCAACTGGGACTCAGAGGTCTTCCGGTGGCCGACAGGGGCCTGTCGGCCAAATCCGAAGGCCGATAGGATGCTATACCTGAATTAAATGAATAATAGCTTCTAGATTTGCAATGATCATTTAAAAAATATTATTTTAAAAAATTTCGCAAATGATCACGTCGTCTGCTTATTTGTTCTTGAGGGCAAGAGAGAAGCAACCAAGAGTGATTGACGGAATCTGCCTTTGGTCAACTGGCAAGACAATGTTTCTTTTTTTCCTAAACAAAAGAGGACTATATATATATATATATATATATATATATATATATATATATATATATATATATATATATATATATATATATATGATTAATTGGCGCTGTTATTGGAAATTGAAGCTTGGATTTTACACCATGGATTATACTTTGATGTGCTGTGATTTGACTTGAGGGTTGTGATTAGAGAAGCAAGACAGTGGGCATAATGCCATCATCAATTTGTTAAAACTTAAAAGTTAGGCAGATGTCCTGCCCACCTCTTATCTCAATTTTATATATAGGCATGAAACTTATGGTGAAGTAAGCACGAATAATGGCTTTGACTTGTGAAAATTCATTTGTGCTGTTAATGTAAATTGGATTTTTTTTATGTCTTGAATTATACTGATGTGTTGTGATTAGACTTGGGGGCTATCTTACCACACTCGCTTTTCATGGTGATTCTAAAGTCTTAAACAATTATCGATAGCCCTGTCTTTTACCATACAGCTCAAGTTAACCTGGACTCTTTTATAGAATAATTATTGCAAAATAATAAAGTCGAACCTCTTGTATCTGCTTGTTTTCTAGATGGTTGCTCGTTTGAATTCGCTGGATCGTGAAATGACAAATGATGACTCAAGATTCACATCTGAGGCTAGACAAATGAATGATGAGTTGGAGAAAAAGAAGAATAGTTTGATTTCTGTTGAAATGCAGGCTGATGATTTTTTGAAGGTACTTCTTACCTTTTGTTTTGTTGATAGAACACGTTCCTTAATCTAGCACATTGGAATCATATAACTCAAACGGAATTTGATTTGATAGACATCGGAGAAGAGGCTCCAAGATGCAAGACTCAAAGCTGATGAAGAAACTCAGGCGGCTGCTAATAAGCTGCAGGAGCTTGTTTATTCCATGGCTGAACATAAAGAGTTCATGGGAACAATAATTGCTCAGAGGAGGAAGGACCTCCATGAAGCTGAAGATTATATAGCGTCTTTGGCATCTAGGTAATGGCTAGAGGAAGTTTGCTTCATTTCTTGCTGGTGCCTCTATTTTGGTCTGTTGATTGTAGCACTCTTGCTGGGGATGAGCTTCACTTGTGGGATACATATTCCTGTACCTGGTATAGTATATTGGAAAGGCAAGTAAATTTAGTATTTTGTTTTGTTAAGGTACGTCAAGTGCAATTGTGATTTTGCGTTGCTATTAGAATGCAATGACTGCTACCTTACAATCTGTTGAATCCAGCTGTTCAATTGCCAACACTGCTAATATGAAAGCTAGCTTTTCCGTTGCTAGAATGCAATGACTGCAGCTGTTCAATTGCCATTGTCTGGAAATTCTCTGATTATGCATGGCCTATAGCTATCACATCGAATCTTACACTACGTGCATGGAGCATTAAATGTAGACGAAAAAAAACTAATTGCATAGTTTGGTTGGAAATTGCGAGACGAACGTTTTGAGCCTAATTAGTCCATGATTGAACACTAATTGCTAAATAAAAACGAAAGTGCTATAGTAGCCCAATTTTCAAAATTTGGCCAACTAAACAAGGCCTCAAATTAAATTAAGCTGTCAGACCAGTCTTCATTCCTAGTATCTGGAAGCTTGCTCTGTGGCACCTACCTAATCTCTATCTCTATCTCTTCTATCTATACAACTATCTATACAAAGGCCTTGTTTAGTTCCCTTCAAAGTTTCAAGTTTTTTCACCCTCTCTCCATCATATTAATTTTTGGACGTTTGCATGGAGCATTAAATGTAGGTAAAAAAAATAACTAATTACACAGTTTAGTTGAAAATCACGAGATGAATCTTTTGAGCCTAGTTGGTCTATGATTGAACAAAGTTTATTAAATAAGACGAAAATTGTACTATTCATCGGGTTGAAATTTTTTTCAATCTAAACAAGGCAAAACTGACTGGACTCATCTATCGCCGCGCGAGGTGAACCCGCCCGCGGGATTCCCCCCTCTGCATGATGTGTAGCTACGCTGTCTGCACTCCATCATCCCCACCCCCAACAATTGCATCGCCCAAATGCCTACTCTCTTGCCCAGCACCTCCAGCTTGCTGCCCTCTTCCGCTGCATACTCAAGGGACCGCATCCGCGGACCTCTTCGACCCTGTCCCCTCTGCCGTTGAGTGCGCTGCCGCCGCAGCGTTTGGCTTCTCTGTCTCGAGCCTCGACGATGGCACTACAACGCTGATGCCCATTTCAGAATGGAAATTGATGGCTTGCAATAGAATCTAAATATTTTGCTGGCATTGCCATGCCGCAGCATGCGCTCCCCCAAGCCAGCTCCTTTGGATTTGGCAACAATGCTGATGGGAGAGGCGGCGACTGGATCTGATTGAGGCTGCTGCCATTTCCCCTCTCATCTCAACAGCACCTTGCTCTCCTTGCCTCTAGAACATCACCTCCCTGGAAAGCAGAACCCTCCCTGAGGTATCCCCTCCCTTCAATGTTTCTACCCATGTACACTCAGATCGGTGAACAATTTTTGGTATATCAAATTTTGTTCCACAATTGGTTTGGTTTTGTTTTGTCAAATTTTTGCATGCCATGGCACTTGGCAGCACATGCGTACATGCCTCCATGTGGTAATTTCCTTTATGAACCCCTCGCGCCATCGATTTGATTAGTACTCATCTGTTAGCATCCTGTTAGTTATAAGAAGAGTTGGTTGTGAATGTGTGTAGTACTGGATAGTAGATTAGTTGTACTCATTTCAATGCAGACATTGTCGTATAGAAGCAGATTAGTGTATTTTTTCCTTCATCATGGTGGTGCCACTTTCTGTGGGGGATATTATGTTTGACTTTTCTTCAAGCTCTTAATCTCGACTACTGAAATTTGCTGCATAAATTAGATGGGCTGTTGCTTTGATGCTCCTTAGCCTTCATTGCCCCCAAGGTGTTTGATAAAATTCTTGTAACATGGATTTCAGGATTTATATGGTGGCTGCAATATGCAATTAGTTGTCATATTACTGTTGGGTTTATACATAATATTACTGTTGGGTTTATATGTTTTATTTCTTATCTTTGCCACTATTCCTCTGTTCTGTAGTTCAATGTTCTCTATGTAACGATCCACCTTTTTAGTAGATAACTAACCATGGATAAGTGAGCCATCAGTTTCTCTTAATTACATCAGGCTAGATAATTGATACACATTGACATAAAAATACACAAATCATATATTAATCCTTGAACCTTATTCTTTACATGATTCAGGCCAATTTAGCTTCACAAATTGCCACACACGCACACACAACATTCTTTACACTTCCAGGTGCAGACTAGTACACATCACTGTAGCTAAACCAACTCTTGTACAGTACTATTTTATACACCCGGGAGGTGCCATGCCCTTCTAGAAGGAGCTAGCCAATCCAGTAGCAGCAGCTTGACCACACACATTGCAGACCCTTGACCAAGCTGAGAAGTGGATGTAAATATATTCGTGGAGGGTGGAGAAGAGTACTAATACAAGAACTCAGGAGCGAAAGTGAAAGGAACATCCCCCATCGAAGTAGCAGCAAACCGGTTCTTGAGTCTCCACTCAAAGTTGAAGCCTAACAAGAAACACCTAGCCCAATCCTTGCCTGAGAAAAACCACCAGCAGCCTTCCACATCAGTACAACATTTTGACTTGAGCACCCATGGAGAGCAACATGGGCTGAGAGGAAGGGGCTGACCAGTGAGGAAGTCAAGAGAAGTGGCCATGTGAGGATCGTCCAAATCGAGAAGAAGCAGTGTAGTAGTCAAGATCTGCAAGTAGAGGGGGTGCTCGTGAGGCAGCACAAGTCTAAGTCTGGAGCTGAACATCTCCACGTTAAGGTGAGGTACACAGCCTAGAGAAAATTTTCTTTGTCTACCAAGAGCACAGAACACATACCATGGGGACAGCTGTGCTAGTTTTGCACATGAAACAAACACTAGATAATATGTTCAGACTTGCAAGAAAAAGATGTGATAGCTGTTACTAGAACAAGAACTAGTATTCCTTTTAGCAAAAGTACACATTACTTGAGCCTCGGCTAAAACTCTAACACAAGAACCTGCACATCTAGAGCACTCAGGTATGTAGCTTTGATTTACAGAGTTGCAGACTGGTATAAAAAACAAAGGAAAGGAAGATGTGGGAGAGAAGAACTCATTGTCAGGTTGGGGAAAGTTGTTGCCGGAGTCCAAATCCCCACACAGCAGCACACAAGGGGTTCCTTGGCCCTATCTTGGCGTCATGGCTGCCGGGCTTCAGCACCTCGGTGGAGCACGCCGCCGCCGCCCAATCTGCACACAACACAGAGAAGAAATCGAAGAGGAAAAATAGTCAGATAGCAGCTAGCTGGTGTCCTTGGGTTTGATTTTGAGGGAGTAATCGAGGAATAAAGCAAACCATGGTTGTCGATTTGGGGGAAATAGCTTGAGCACCATGAGTAGCAGAAGGGGAAAAGATAGAGGAAGGAGAGAGAGAGACGAGAGGATACTGGAGGGTGTGCGTGTGTCTAGCATTGAAGCAACAAGCGGATTGATGAAAAAAAAAGGTCTCAACTCTCTTATTGTGCATGGGGCTTGGACTTTTGGAACCATCGCAATCGTTGCATCTTTAACGGTATTGTCTCCAGCCTCGGTGGTGTTCTTACCCTTGCTGGAGAAGAGCGTCGGTTGTGGAGTTTAGCAGGAGCTAAGGGTCCGTCCTCTTTGACAGCCCCTCTCGCTGGTTAGCTGCTAGACTTTTTGGTCGTCCCCTTCTGTGGGGGCACGAACATAATTTCTGAGTTGTGTGGGGTTGTGTGTAATGTGTGTTGTAGGACTCTAGCCTCTTTCTTTCTTTTTAATATAATGATGTGCAACTCTCTTATGTTTTCAAGAAATAAGACTTTAGTACTAGTACTACACAAAGAGCGGCTTTAATTAAGTACAGGTTCAGCTCACGCGAGAGTAAAAAGGAGTTTGACAATGCTAAATTAATTTAATGATTGTATAGATACACGGCATAATTGATACTAAGTATCAGGAAGCTATTTCTTGACGGTAGGATGAACACATGGCTACTTATGTGCTGTATTTTTATTTGTGTGTTTTCTATTTTTTTTCTAAGTATCAGTATATATATATACTAATTACAGGGGTGCAGGAACATCCAGTGAACCAAATTGAGCCCGAGTTGAATCCTAACAACTCAAGCAAGAATCCTTGATCATTTTCTCCTTGAGTTTTTATACAAAACTTGGTAAAATAAAAGTAACATCCATTAAATGTTATTTTCTGAAATTAATTATGGATGGATGACATGTGAATTGGATGACATGGGGTTAGCTGATGGAGCAGCTAATTCCCTACTGTATATTTAAGTTTGGTAGGATTAATAACCAACTCTCACTTGTGTTATTGGGCCATATAAAATCATGTCGACCATGAACTCGTTTGGGACGGGCCAATTCTAGTACCCATGAAGTTGTTATATAATCCCTATGGTAAACAATGAGGGGTTTGGGTGATGAAATCCCCATTCAGGTGTCGATGAAGTACACCTAGGGGCATATATGCGCACGTGGAGAGATGTGGATTATAATTATACGAAATGGGGAAAGTTCGGTATCTTGGCCATGAGACGCACTTAAGGAAGTGCGATGGAAAATTGGCTAGGATAATCATGGGTAAAGTGATATAAACCTGCGCAGGGTTAAATCATAAATTCATGTAATGTCTCTTAGAATAGAGGCCACGGAAACCTATGGGTGGTTCTCCCTCAAGATAAAGTGATTAGTAGTGTTTTTAAATTGAACTTGACATTTTCTACAAATGCTATTTTAAACAGCAAGATGATATATTATTGATCATTTGATATGACCAGATTGCATTGCTTTGAGTTAATATATGCTTGCTGAGCAGTGTTTTCAGATCGAACGATTAATCAATCGTGATTATTCGTCCTTATCGTAACTAGGTGCTCGATAAGGGCCTCGTGATTATTCGTCCTTATCGTAACTAGGTGC